AATTAGCAGGTCTAAAATGTGACCACTACGATGTGTCAGCTCTTTGATTAGCTGCTTTAGATTATGATCGTCAAGAATTGAAACAAGGCGTTTGGTGTCTGGTACAGGTGGAACATCAAAGTGAAAGTTGAAATCCCCTATGATGTAAAAGGGGGAGGCAGCTTGCTCTAGTTGAAAGAGTAGATCTTGGAATCCTCTGAAGAATTCTTTACTTGTAAATGTACTTTTCTTGTTAGCTGGCGGTCGATAGATAGCCTACATATCACACGGAAGGTAAGTTGCTCTGGTCTGATGAAAGCAGTGGCTGATTCAAATGTGCGATACGATGGACCATCGCAGATGAACTTTACTGGTAAACCTCGCAGATGAATAAAAGCAATTCCGCCACCACGTGAGCCGCGTGAAAAAGATTTAAGTTCAAAGCCGGATTGTAGAATGTCGGCTATGATAGATTCATCGCCATCTGTTCGAAACCAAGTTTCTGTGATGCACAACAAGTCGATGTTCATTTCTTCAATTACGTCTCTTACAATGTTTGTTTTGTTGCAGCACGACTGGGTGTTAATACAGCCAATTCTTAAGTTGGGACAGTTATGTTGAAATACATTACGAGTGTCTATCTGTATTAAGTTTTTCTTGTTCACAGTAGTCATAGTTCTATTCTTAGAAACAGTGTGACGAGGAATCCCCTGACACACCATAATTTTTCTCTGTTTCCTTGTCCCACCTCTTGTACCCCTCTTGTCACTCTTCACTACCCTTGATTGACAAACACAGCTGTTTCGAACTCCTAACTGGGTCAAAGTAGTTAGCACGTTTGATGGTATACCATAGATGTACACTATGTGGTATACTCAGACTTGGATTATATACGTTTAACAGCTGATCTGTTGTGTACTTAGTTGTTTTCACTGTTTGATTCAGTGCTCAAGGGTGTCCTTGTGTCCTCGCTTGTCCGACACAGTTCTGAAAGCTCGAGGTGTCTGACTGGGCCCACGCAGTGTGTTTAACACAGATCTCTTGGTTGTTGACATAAGATGACACAGGGATAACCCGGATATGGTGGTATAATCTAGTTACCTCTAGTTCACAACAAAACTGTATACATGGCCAAAATAGTTCAATAGGGCCAGGGTAAGAATTAAAAGTTCCATGGCTAATATTAGTCTAGATCTTGTCTTTATATCCAACATTTGTACACCACTAGATGAAGCAAATCAAGGGCTTTCACGTGATATTAAATTCCTAGAAAACACAAGTCGTAATCCTGAGAAATGGCGAAAAAATGCATATTGTACAGTTCTCATCCTCGCTTACTCTCTGTAGCCACCTGGAGGTAGAGTATGGATGAGACTGGCCCAATTTAAAAGAAATATACCAACAACAAAAAGTTTCTGGCATTATTTTCATACAACTGATAAAATCTTCTAAATCGTTAATAATGGCGATTCAAAACAATAACATTTGTTCCGAGCATAGATTTGAGTCTTACCTAGTCCTTGGTGCCAGACACCTGGCAGCGCATCCTCTTTCTCTTATGCCTACAAAACTTGGCCGTATTTGGCATAATGTGTGATAAATAAAGCGCGGGCCTCACTAACACTTAACAGGAAACTTTGATGTCAAGTAAAGGACGCAAAAATACTGCCCGCAGGCCGCAAGTTTGATAATCCAGGTTACTGATTTGACTCTGCTTTCAACATAATATGCGATTAGGTCTGAATCATTGTAAGAGACAGTATTTATGATTTAAAATTCTAAGTAGGCCTACTACTAAAACGACAGCGCCAAGAGGAAGAAAGGTCATGAACTATAATTTAGAAAACCACGTTCAGACAAGTCGGGTTGAAGATTTTAACGAGAGCAGTCAGTTCAGACACCCTCGTCCGAACAGAACTAAATTTTGGGACGGCAATAGAGAATCATAATAAATGATATAAATACCCCAAAAATATACAGTTGCAAAAAAGAAGGACGGCCTCTAATCCCGAAATTGGACAATTGCCAGTGTGGTTTTTCTGGAAAAGGGGGGGGGGGGCTGCTTTGGTTTGTTGTTGTTGTTGTTGCTGCTGTTGCTGCTGCTGTTGCTGCTGCTGTTGCTGCTGTTCTATTTTATTTTATTTTTCTAATTTACATAGGAATTTCTTTTTTTTTCTACTTGGACGAGATAGGATCTCAGCGAAAACACTTGCCTCCGCAAGGAGAGACGTACAATGTACAAGCTAGAAAAGGAATACTTAATACTAATATAAACGAAATCGAATGTTATGTTCTGGAGGCTCGCTTGTGCAATGTTCCAACAAACTCAACCTGTACGATTGACAGTTTTCTCGTCCTTTGGGAACACCTTCTTACAGACCTGTAGGAGCTAAATCAAAGTTATGCCTTTGACATCACCTATGCTCGAAAAAGTGAGGAGCTATTTTCAGCTTGCAAGAAAATAGTAATAAGTGGAAACCTGCTTGCGTGCTTGATCGGGTGTTTGAATTTTTTTATTTTTTTTTTTAAATATTTTTTTTACGAACATAAAAAACAGGAGGAATATGCCTTGCAGATAAGTGATCGCTTCTGCGGCTGAATTTTTAACCACAGGATAATAATTTTTCAGTCCCAATGCCAGTGTTCACTGCACGATTCACTGACATAGCATTCAAAACGAACGTTTGTGTATTCATGCATCCTCGATAAACGTCTTCTGCCTTCAGCTGAAGCGTGCTTTCTTGTTAGTTTAATTCGTTTTTCCTAGAGATCGTAGCAAATAAGGACAAAGTTATCTTTTGGCCCCCGTCAACATCTACTGTGAACGTTACTCGTCTGTGGACTTTATTATAGTATCGTCTAATTTCATCTACACATGAACAGCCGCAGCAATACTGATAAGAAGAAGAACAAGAAGAAGAAGGAAAAAAAAGAACAAGAAGAAGAAGAAGAAGAAGAAGAAGAAGAAGAAGAAAAAGAAGAAGAAGAAGAAGAAGAAGAAGAAGAAGAAGAAGAAGAAGAAGAAGAAGAAGAAGAAGAAGAAGAAGAAGAAGAAGAACAACAACAACAACAACAACAACAACAACAACAACAACAACAACAACAACAACAACAACAACAACAACAAGAAAAAAAAAAGAAAAACAACACTAACAACGACTGCACCATCAAAAGCAAAATGGAAAAGAGCAAGTGCAATGTACAAAAAGAAGAACATGAAGTGAAACAAAAAATCCAAGAAGGGATGTTGAATTTGTTTATAAAATAGTTCCATTCCCCTTCTGTAAAAGCCAAACCAAGTGAATAATAATATTGTGTCAAACCTTTTTCTTCTTCCAGGCTCCGAGAGGAGATCAGAGGGAATTAAGGAAAAAAGAACGCGCGGAACGCGAGTGACAATTTGGCTAGGCTCACAGAAACCAGAGACCTGGAGGAGGAAAACATTTTTCTACGCCTGCTGTTTATTGAAAAGAAAAAGATCTGACTTAAAAACACATCGTCTACGATTAAGTGCTAGGTGCATTGAGGATATGAAAGCGAGCTTTTTCTTCGCTAGGCTACAGTTTTTAGGTATTTTATTCTCTTTCTTTTGAAAAAATATTTAGCCCTCAACTAAGAGTACAAAGTGTATCCATAATATTTTTGACAAAATTAGAGCGTTTGGTGCAAAGCGAACACAATACGGTTGATAAACAAAGTGAACACACTTAGACCTAATGCATGTCGGGAAAAGAGAATGTTTTAAAACAGTCTCTTTACAAATTCCAGTCACTCTCTCTTAACACCAGTCCCTTTCATAAACAAGGGTGAAACGTTGACGGGAATTTATCTGCCTCCCTTAACCGTGCCTAACGATTTATTCGATTAGGCTTATTGTCATCATTGAAACAAAATAAGAAGCTGGGTAAGTTTTCATGCAGGGGACGTATAAATTTGGTGATTATTACGTCAACTTGAACTTTTGATTGAGCGTCAAGGCATTAGCCTTTGGGCCTATTCGTCTACATTTAATTTATTTCTTCTTAGTTTTAGAAAGACAAAAATTATGTTAAAGATCCACTCACCGAAAGGTAACCTCAGCGCAGGGACTTTATGATTTTCAGTTTCGAGAGCGGGCTGAAATGTATTGCCTATTTGGCCTTAATTGCTTTATTTTCAACTCTTTTTGAATAAATACGCAAAGACAACGCGTAGAATCTCAACATCACCTTGCTTACTTCATAATTTTTCGGTAAAGTCTCCGTTGCGATCCACACATAGCCGCTAACGCCGGACTAGAAAGTTGGCACACCTCGTTTGTACGAAGAAATTAGCAGACTTTTGTTTAGATGACAATCGAACGTGGGTTTCTAGTTTCTACATTAACAGCATTGTCATGGTGGCTTCCTTTCAAATACTCCTTTGGCGTTGGAAAAGGAAGAAGCCCAAAGAAGCAAGACCGAGTCTGCGACTGCTTGACGGGTGGAGAAATCCAGCTGCTTTCGTAGCGTTTGTGAGAACTACCAACTTGTGTGTGTGTGGGGGGGGGGGGGGGGGGGG